AGCAGTAGGACTATGGCTTCAGAGTGGCCTGTGTTAATACGCAGCTTAGAATTTTGACAAGTTACTTAACATCTAAGCATAGTTTTTCATCTCTTAAATTTTAAAAAAAATAGTTATACTATGTCTTGGGCTTGTCTTGAGAGTTAGTAAAACTGTGCATCTAGCTCACTGTTTCTACCTAATGAAACAGTTTGGGCACAATGGCATCGGAGTCCCCTTCTGACATAATAGCCTCAGATTGCAAGTGAGAACCAGACAGAATGTCCAAGAATAGCCATAGAAAGCTTGCTTTTCGTAGTTCCAGCTGCCCACACTGTGCTCTTTGCTAAAGCCAACACTTGGCTCTGAAACGGCCAAGAACAAACCAGTGTCTTCACCCAGCATGCTACTCCTTCCCACCATTGTTGCCTCAGCAGACCCCCACCACCACCCACACCTCAATACAATTAAGGTGTTATCTANAACAGAATGTCCAAGAATAGCCATAGAAAGCTTGCTTTTCGTAGTTCCAGCTGCCCACACTGTGCTCTTTGCTAAAGCCAACACTTGGCTCTGAAACGGCCAAGAACAAACCAGTGTCTTCACCCAGCATGCTACTCCTTCCCACCATTGTTGCCTCAGCAGACCCCCACCACCACCCACACCTCAATACAATTAAGGTGTTATCTATGCACTGTATGGCTGGATTAAAAACTAAATCTTCTCTTATCAGTGAAAAATATTTACCTCTACTTCCGTCATTTTAGACATTAATGTATGGGTGCAAATTATAGTTCAAGAAATCCATGAAGCCCTTTCTGACAAACAGGATACCTTGTTCATTAAGTGAATCCCTGTGTTTGCATAACACTAAAAGGGTGTTTTCATCATATCAGATTGGTAGATAGCACACTTGTTACTTGTCTCAAACATTCACTTAGAATCAGACTTGTGCAGTCAAACTTTAAATTGATCATTACTATCATGCAGACCAAGAATATCGAATGTAGAATTGTGCCTTCTATGTTCTGATCTTTGTGCTTTTTGAATCCAAAAAGTAAGCCATTTAACTTTGTAAACCATGTTAAGAATCAATCAGTTGAGTCCGACGCAAAATGATAGTCAGCAGTTGTTCTATACTTACAGAAGTCCGATTTTAGACCGGCCTCTTGAATCTTCTCACCCTCAATTTCTTCATGTATCAGGCATAAATAAGAGTATTTTGCCTGTCGCAGTTGTTTCTTTACGAGCAAATCAATTGCATAATGTAAATAAAATAATAAATACATTGATGATAT